GAGCTGTAGGAACCTTACTTTTGATTTCTCCAACAAAATTGTGAGTGTAAGGCCTTTTCAAAGCAGGAGGTGAGTGTAGCAATTGAGCTCGTTTCAGAATAGTATATACGTTACTATTAATTTGATAATTTTTATAAGGATCGCTAACAACAAGAGAGAAGAGTAACATAGCCATGAGGACAATCAAATAAATCTTAAAAATTCCCATCTCTTTGAGTTTGAGTTTGAGTTTGATTTGATTATGTATAAATAACAAGGGTATGGGGTATGACAATTTAATTTGGTCAAAATACAGCTCGCACTAGTTTTTTCAATTCAAACTTAATTCGAAACAAAATGATATTTTATTTATAAAATTTAGAAATGTAGAGTTGAATATTTCCTCAACTTGGAAATAAACAATTTTAAATTGATAATTTTTCAAATAATTTATTATTGAGATTTTTCCTTTAATTACTCTTTCTAGACGTCATTATTTATTATAAATAATATTTTTGTTAATAAAAAAAGGAAGGGTAAAAATAAATAAAAAGTAAGACATTTACTAATAATTTAGTAGATTTTATAGCATAAAAATTACTTTTAGTTAGTAATATTTTTAAAAAGTTAAACTTTTTAAATGAATATGCAATGGTTTGTTTCATAATCTAGAACCCTACATATTTTATCAAATTAATAATTTTCGGACAAAATTATTTTTAGATGAAGCGGTTTCAAATGAGTTGTGCCCTTAATTGAGGTGTAAACATAATTTTTATGGTAAATATGAGTTTTCTGATTTTGCAATTTCCTATTTATAAGAAAAATATGTACACTAAATTTTTAATCTTTGTCGATAATATAAATGAACAATGGAGACATATTTGTCATTAGTTAATAAAAATAAACATAAGATAAAGGGTTAAACATTTGTCCTTGGCAAATATTATAGTGTTTAATTAAAGAGTAAAACATAGGAGTGACAAAATAGATGGATTTGATGGATATGGATTGAATTGTTAATGTAAACATCAAAATAATTCATTAGTTCATTAATAATACACTAAATTCCCTTTAAAATATCCAATTTAATCCATCCATTAAAGATAAAATTAATCTGATCCATCCATTAAAATGATTTTAATGGATGGATATCATTCTATGCAAAAAAAATCAATTTAAACATAGTTATATTTAAATTAATTGTTTCCGTCTGATTTTCTATTCATATTTCCTCTGCATCTTTATCATTGCATAAATTTATTTTAGAGTGAGGCTCAAAGTCAAAGGTTGACTCTTTCGCCTTTTATTGTAAATTTTTTATATATTTATTTTCAAAGACCATCTGTATTTGGTTTCATTAGTATTCATTTGCATTAGATGGTAAGTCACAAGTCAAAGAATTGACTTTTGAATTTGACTTTCCTATTTAGTTTTTTTTATTAATTTTATTTTGGTTTAATTTCAATTTACTTCTATTAGAATACCTTGGTTCTAAAAATCGATAAATATAGAATGAAAGTTTGAAATAGAATAAATTAAATATATTTTTATTGTTAAAATGAGTAGTGCATTTTCTTACGTCATATTTCATTCTCAGTACACAATACATATTTTTTGTTTACACTACCTTATACCACTTACATCACATACCTATTATCTACATCCTACACTACATACCATCACATGGCTCCTACAGTATTACACACCATGTACTACTTACATACAAACCAATTTCGTAACAAACTTGTAAATAATTCACAGTAAACTCCATCCAAATTACATTTTAAGAAACACAACTTCAATTATTTTCACCACACTAAAACTCCATCAAACTAATCCGAACCACTCTTAAAACTACAAAACAATATCCTAACCTTTCACTCAATTAATTCACACGGATCACACTCAAACTCAACTTAAATTCCACTTAAATTATATACAAATTAATCCTAATTCTTTTTCTATTTCCCTCCATTTCATAACAGAATCACACATTGGGTAACCACGGCTCACACATACAAACATCCCTATAAAAATATCTTATTGTTCACTCATAATCATCCATAATCAACGTACTTTTACTCGGCTAAAATCAATCTTCACAATCATCCATATAATAAAATAAAAACATATTATAATATCTATATAAATATGAAAAAAGGCAAATGAAAAACTAACACAAGTTTAAGCTATATTAAAATGTTTTATTATATTACGTTCATTATCAGAATATAATCTGAACATATATTGCATGCATGATATTCATGAAAATTGGATAAGTAAATTAAGAGCATATTAAAGTGTCTATTTCCTAAAGAACGTGTCTTGAAATAGAGACTTAAAAACTAAGACTTCACGGTAAGAGGCGAATCAAGTGATTGAGTTGAATTTGGATCTGTGAGAACATTTATTTTTATTTTTGGATTAAAGTTGTACTTGTAAGAAGTTTTCATGACGGGAGGTGATTCTGGTGATTGTTCTGGATTTGGACCAGAGGGAACTTTTCTTTTTATCTCGTGAATAAAGTCGTAAACGTAAGACCTTTGCATGGCAGGAGGTGACTCTGGTGATTGTTCTGGATTTGGACCGGTGGGAACTTTTCTTTTTATTTCTCGAACAAAGTTGTAGTTGTTAGACGTTTTCACGGTGGGAGGTGATTCCGGCGATTGTACTGGATTTGGAGCTGTAGGAACCTTACTTTTGATTTCTCCAACAAAATTGTGAGTGTAAGGCCTTTTCAAAGCAGGAGGTGAGTGTAGCAATTGAGCTCGTTTCAGACTAGTATATACGTTACTATTAATTTGATAATTTTTATAAGGATCGCTAACAACAAGAGAGAAGAGTAACATGGCCATGAGGACAATCAAATAAATCTTAAAAATTCCCATCTCTTTGAGTTTGAGTTTGAGTTTGAGTTTGTGATACAAAGATTATGTATAAATAACAAGGGTATGGGGTATGACAATTTAATTTGGTCAAAATACAGCTCGCACTAGTTTTTTCAATTCAAACTTAATTCGAAACAAAATGATATTTTATTTATAAAATTTAGAAATGTAGATGTGAATATTTCCTCAACTTGGAAATAAACAATTTTAAATTGATAATTTTTCAAATAATTTATTATTGAGATTTTTCCTTTAATTACTCTTTCTAGACGTCATTATTTATTATAAATAATATTTTTGTTAATAAAAAAAGGAAGGGTAAAAATAAATAAAAAGTAAGACATTTACTACTAATTTAGTAGATTTTATAGCATAAAAATTACTTTTGCTTAGTAATATTTTTAAAAAGTTAAACTTTTTAAATGAATATGCAATGGTTTGTTTCATAATCTAGAACCTTACATATTTTATCAAATTAATAATTTTCGGACAAAATTATTTTTAGATGAAGCGGTTTCAAATGAGTTGTGCCCTTAATTGAGGTGTAAACATAATTTTTATGGTAAATATGAGTTTTCTGATTTTGCAATTTCCTATTTATAAGAAAAATATGTACACTAAATTTTTAAACTTTGTCGATAATATAAATGAACAATGGAGACATATTTGTCATTAGTTAATAAAAATAAACATAAGATAAAGGGTTAAACATTTGTCCTTGGCAAATATTATAGTGTTTAATTAAAGAGTAAAATATAGGAGTGACAAAATAGATGGATTTGATGGATATGGATTGAATTGTTAATGTAATGATCAAAATAATTCATTGGTTCATTAATAATACACTAAATTCCCTTTAAAATATCCAATTTAATCCATCCATTAAAGATAAAATTAATCTGATCCATCCATTAAAATGATTTTAATGGATGGATATCATTCTATGCAAAAAAAATCAATTTAAACATAGTTATATTTAAATTAATTGTTTCCGTCTGATTTTCTATTCATATTTCCTCTGCATCTTTATCATTGCATAAATTTATTTTAGAGTGAGGCTCAAAGTCAAAGGTTGACTCTTTCGCCTTTTATTGTAAATTTTTTATATATTTATTTTCAAAGACCATCTGTATTTGGTTTCATTAGTATTCATTTGCATTAGATGGTAAGTAACAAGTCAAAGAATTGACTTTTGAATTTGACTTTCCTATTTAGTTTTTTTTATTAATTTTATTTTGGTTTAATTTCAATTTACTTCTATTAGAATACCTTGGTTCTAAAAATCGATAAATATAGAATGAAAGTTTGAAATAGAATAAATTAAATATATTTTTATTGTTAAAATGATTAGTGCATTTTCTTACGTCATATTTCATTCTCAGTACACAATACATGTTTTTTGTTTACACTACCTTATACCACTTACATCACATACCTATTATCTACATCCTACACTACATACCATCACATGGCTCCTACAGTATTACACACCATGTACTACTTACATACAAACTAATTTCGTAACAAACTTGTAAATAATTCACAGTAAACTCCATCCAAATTACATTTTAAGAAACACAACTTCAATTATTTTCACCACACTAAAACTCCATCAAACTAATCTGAACCACTCTTAAAACTGCAAAACAATATCCTAACCTTTCACTCAATTAATTCACACGGATCACACTCAAACTCAACTTAAATTCCACCTAAATTATATACAAATTAATCCTAATTCTTTTTCTATTTCCCTCCATTTCATAACAGAATCACACATTGGGTAACCACGGCTCACACATACAAACATCCCTATAAAAATATCTTATTGTTCACTCATAATCATCCATAATCAACGTACTTTTACTCGGCTAAATTCAATCTTCACAATCATCCATATAATAAAATAAAAACATATTATAATATCTATATAATTATGAAAAAAGGCAAATGAAAAACTAACACAAGTTTAAGCTATATTAAAATGTTTTATTATATTACATTTATTATCAGAATATAATCTGAACATATATTGCATGCATGATATTCATGAAAATTGGATAAGTAAATTAAGAGCATATTAAAGTGTCTATTTCCTAAAGAACGTGTCTTGAAATAGAGACTTAAAAACTAAGACTTCACGGTAAGAGGCGAATCAAGTGATTGAGTTGAATTTGGATCTGTGAGAACATTTCTTTTTATTTTTGGATTAAAGTTGTACTTGTAAGAAGTTTTCATGGCGGGAGGTGATTCTGGTGATTGTTCTGGATTTGGACCAGAGGGAACTTTTCTTTTTATCTCGTGAATAAAGTCGTAAACGTAAGACCTTTGCATGGCAGGAGGTGACTCTGGTGATTGTTCTGGATTTGGACCGGTGGGAACTTTTCTTTTTATTTCTCGAACAAAGTTGTAGTTGTTAGACGTTTTCACGGTGGGAGGTGATTCCGGCGATTGTACTGGATTTGGAGCTGTAGGAACCTTACTTTTGATTTCTCCAACAAAATTGTGAGTGTAAGGCCTTTTCAAAGCAGGAGGTGAGTGTAGCAATTGAGCTCGTTTCAGACTAGTATATACGTTACTATTAATTTGATAATTTTTATAAGGATCGCTAACAACAAGAGAGAAGAGTAACATGGCCATGAGGACAATCAAATAAATCTTAAAAATTCCCATCTCTTTGAGTTTGAGTTTGAGTTTGAGTTTGTGATACAAAGATTATGTATAAATAACAAGGGTATGGGGTATGACAATTTAATTTGGTCAAAATACAGCTCGCACTAGTTTTTTCAATTCAAACTTAATTCGAAACAAAATGATATTTTATTTATAAAATTTAGAAATGTAGATGTGAATATTTCCTCAACTTGGAAATAAACAATTTTAAATTGATAATTTTTCAAATAATTTATTATTGAGATTTTTCCTTTAATTACTCTTTCTAGACGTCATTATTTATTATAAATAATATTTTTGTTAATAAAAAAAGGAAGGGTAAAAATAAATAAAAAGTAAGACATTTACTACTAATTTAGTAGATTTTATAGCATAAAAATTACTTTTGCTTAGTAATATTTTTAAAAAGTTAAACTTTTTAAATGAATATGCAATGGTTTGTTTCATAATCTAGAACCTTACATATTTTATCAAATTAATAATTTTCGGACAAAATTATTTTTAGGTGAAGCGGTTTCAAATGAGTTGTGCCCTTAATTGAGGTGTAAACATAATTTTTATGGTAAATATGAGTTTTCTGATTTTGCAATTTCCTATTTATAAGAAAAATATGTACACTAAATTTTTAATCTTTGTCGATAATATAAATGAACAATGGAGACATATTTGTCATTAGTTAATAAAAATAAACATAAGATAAAGGGTTAAACATTTGTCCTTGGCAAATATTATAGTGTTTAATTAAAGAGTAAAACATAGGAGTGACAAAATAGATGGATTTGATGGATATGGATTGAATTGTTAATGTAATGATCAAAATAATTCATTGGTTCATTAATAATACACTAAATTCCCTTTAAAATATCCAATTTTATCCATCCATTAAAGATAAAATTAATCTGATCCATCCATTAAAATGATTTTAATGGATGGATATCATTCTATGCAAAAAAAAATCAATTTAAACATAGTTATATTTAAATTAATTGTTTCCGTCTGATTTTCTATTCATATTTCCTCTGCATCTTTATCATTGCATAAATTTATTTTAGAGTGAGGCTCAAAGTCAAAGGTTGACTCTTTCGCCTTTTATTGTAAATTTTTTATATATTTATTTTCAAAGACCATCTGTATTTGGTTTCATTAGTATTCATTTGCATTAGATGGTAAGTCACAAGTCAAAGAATTGACTTTTGAATTTGACTTTCCTATTTAGTTTTTTTTATTAATTTTATTTTGGTTTAATTTCAATTTACTTCTATTAGAATACCTTGGTTCTAAAAATCGATAAATATAGAATGAAAGTTTGAAATAGAATAAATTAAATATATTTTTATTGTTAAAATGATTAGTGCATTTTCTTACGTCATATTTCATTCTCAGTACACAATACATGTTTTTTGTTTACACTACCTTATACCACTTACATCACATACCTATTATCTACATCCTACACTACATACCATCACATGGCTCCTACAGTATTACACAACATGTACTACTTACATACAAACCAATTTCGTAACAAACTTGTAAATAATTCACAGTAAACTCCATCCAAATTACATTTTAAGAAACACAACTTCAATTATTTTCACCACACTAAAACTCCATCAAACTAATCCGAACCACTCTTAAAACTGCAAAAGAATATCCTAACCTTTCACTCAATTAATTCACACGGATCACACTCAAACTCAACTTAAATTCCACCTAAATTATATACAAATTAATCCTAATTCTTTTTCTATTTCCCTCCATTTCATAACAGAATCACACATTGGGTAACCACGGCTCACACATACAAACATCCCTATAAAAATATCTTATTGTTCACTCATAATCATCCATAATCAACGTACTTTTACTCGGCTAAAATCAATCTTCACAATCATCCATATAATAAAATAAAAACATATTATAATATCTATATAATTATGAAAAAAGGCAAATGAAAAACTAACACAAGTTTAAGCTATATTAAAATGTTTTATTATATTACATTTATTATCAGAATATAATCTGAACATATATTGCATGCATGATATTCATGAAAATTGGATAAGTAAATCAAGAGCATATTAAAGTGTCTATTTCCTAAAGAACGTGTCTTGAAATAGAGACTTAAAAACTAAGACTTCACGGTAAGAGGAGAATCAAGTGATTGAGTTGAATTTGGATCTGTGAGAACATTTCTTTTTATTTTTGGATTAAAGTTGTACTTGTAAGAAGTTTTCATGGCGGGAGGTGATTCTGGTGATTGTTCTGGATTTGGACCAGAGGGAACTTTTCTTTTTATCTCGTGAATAAAGTCGTAAACGTAAGACCTTTGCATGGCGGGAGGTGACTCTGGTGATTGTTCTGGATTTGGACCGGTGGGAACTTTTCTTTTTATTTCTCGAACAAAGTTGTAGTTGTTAGACGTTTTCACGGTGGGAGGTGATTCCGGCGATTGTACTGGATTTCGAGCTGTAGGAACCTTACTTTTGATTTCTCCAACAAAATTGTGAGTGTAAGGCCTTTTCAAAGCAGGAGGTGAGTGTAGCAATTGAGCTCGTTTCAGACTAGTATATACGTTACTATTAATTTGATAATTTTTATAAGGATCGCTAACAACAAGAGAGAAGAGTAACATAGCCATGAGGACAATCAAATAAATCTTAAAAATTCCCATCTCTTTGAGTTTGAGTTTGAGTTTGAGTTTGTGATACAAAGATTATGTATAAATAACAAGGGTATGGGGTATGACAATTTAATTTGGTCAAAATACAGCTCGCACTAGTTTTTTCAATTCAAGCTTAATTCGAAACAAAATGATATTTTATTTATAAAATTTAGAAATGTAGATGTGAATATTTCCTCAACTTGGAAATAAACAATTTTAAATTGATAATTTTTCAAATAATTTATTATTGAGATTTTTCCTTTAATTACTCTTTCTAGACGTCATTATTTATTATAAATAATATTTTTGTTAATAAAAAAAGGAAGGGTAAAAATAAATAAAAAGTAAGGCATTTACTAATAATTTAGTAGATTTTATAGCATAAAAATTACTTTTGCTTAGTAATATTTTTAAAAAGTTAAACTTTTTAAATGAATATGCAATGGTTTGTTTCATAATCTAGAACCTTACATATTTTATCAAATTAATAATTTTCGGACAAAATTATTTTTAGATGAAGCGGTTTCAAATAAGTTGTGCCCTTAATTGAGGTGTAAACATAATTTTTATGGTAAATATGAGTTTTCTGATTTTGCAATTTCCTATTTATAAGAAAAATATGTACACTAAATTTTTAAACTTTGTCGATAATATAAATGAACAATGGAGACATATTTGTCATTAGTTAATAAAAATAAACATAAGATAAAGGGTTAAACATTTGTCCTTGGAAAATATTATAGTGTTTAATTAAAGAGTAAAACATAGGAGTGACAAAATAGATGGATTTGATGGATATGGATTGAATTGTTAATGTAATGATCAAAATAATTGATTAGTTCATTAATAATACACTAAAATTCCTTTAAAATATCCAATTTAATCCATCCATTAAAGATAAAATTAATCTGATCCATCCATTAAAATGATTTTAATGGATGGATATCATTCTATGCTAAAAAATCTATTTAAATATAGTTATACACTACACCAAAAAAGACTTACGAAAGCGTTTTTTTTTTGCCTTTAAAAGCGCTTAAAAGCGCTTTTGTAGGTGGCGCTGCTATAGGTTTTAGCAGCGCTTTTTGTTTAATGAAAAGCGCTTTCGTAGGTCTACCTAATACAACGCTTTTTTATGAAGAAGCGCTTTCATAGGTCTACCTAAGGCAGCTCTTTTTTCTGGAAAAGCGCTCTCATAAGTTTTCTTTTAGCAGCGCTTTTTTCTGGAAAAGCGCTGTCTTAGGTAGGATTTTAGCAACGCTTTTTTCTTGAAAAGCACTTTCATAGGTGGTCTTTTAGCAGTGCTTTTTCCTGGAAAAGCGCTGCCATATGTTTACCTTAGACAGCGCTTTTGTGAAAAAGCGCTTTCATAGGTTACCTAAGGCAGCATTTTTCTTGAAAAAGCGCTTTCATAGGTTTTTTTTTTAGCGGTATAATTTATATAATTCATATACCTGCATTGTTTGCAGCATATTATTTATATAAACCAGTTGCCATAACCTGTAATTCATAAACCGCGGTAATGCATTGTATACCATTGTAATCCAAAATATATACACACCATTTTTGTACCTCAAAATATATAAAAACCATTGTTATCAGCATTGTAACTCAAAATCAGTCTTACAAAATCAACCCTAACAACAACTAAACCAGTCCTAATGTATGAAAGAAACACGGTCAATTATGTATTAAGGTCCTGGTCCTGCGAGGTTTGAACATAATAACACGGTCAATATGGTACTCCATGTACACATGTAACGTATTCATAACACTTTTCACATAATAATGTATTCATACCTTATATGATTCTCTGCTCAATAAAATATTGACACAATTCCTCTTCGATTTCTTCCAACTGAAGTTTCGTGTAATATGCACATTTGTATTCATCGAAGTACTACATAACAAAACATAATATGCATGATTTAGTTAAAAGTAAAAAATTATATGAAATATCCGAGAAATAATAAAACAAATCCTAAGTTATAAATCCATACCATGACTGGAATCTCTATTTGATTCAGTTGAAGGATTTCTTTGATAAACCGCATAACGAAGTATCCGCAATCTATACCGTTTTGCTGTTGAGGACACTACATAGAAAAACAAATAAGAATATATAGTTGTATTGTTTTATCAAATAACATAAATATTATAAGCAAAATAGTGGAAACTAATATACCTACACTTTGATCCAATTAATGTTGTTTGATTTAGACCGTCATACCCGAGCTTCTCTTTGACACCGGAATACTTGTATCACTCTAACAAAATAAAAATATATATTTAGAACAATGTCACATAAAGAATTAAATATATAAATACACACATA